ACACCACACACAAACACACACACCACACACACAACCACACACACCACACACACAATCACACATACACACCACACATACACACAAACCACATACACACCACACATACATACACACACACCATACATACACACACCACACACACACAACCACACCCCACACATACACACACATACAACCACACACACACAGCACACATATGAACCCTATACATACATATACACCACACACACACCACACAACCACACATATACATACACACACATGCACACACACACGCCCTCTGGACACCCCACATCTGGCTTGTGCTCTGCAGGGCCACTGAAAACACTTAGAGGGTCGCCTCTCCCTTTTAAGTCCTGGGTGGGTGGTGGCTCCCCAGAACCCCGGGGTCGTCCCAGGAGGGAGACTTGGCGGGAAGGCTGGACCCCGGAGAGCTGGACTGAAGGCCCACCCCGGGGAAAGCTGGGGCCTCGCTCTCTGCGCTGCTGCACTCCTGCTGACCACCGGCAGCTGGGCCCGGCCTCTCCCACTGTGATGCTGACACTGGCCACAGCACGAGGGCTCCCGCCCAGGCCCCTGCTGGCCTGACCTCACCCTCCACAGAACCCGGTGACTCACGCCCACCGAGCACGGGGAGGAGGCGGCATACGGCCGAGACTCACGGTCAGCTGTGGCCCCAGGCTCGTCTGCTTCATCCACGCCTGCCTCAGTACCTCTCGCCGCACAGTGAACCACCCCAAGCCCTAGTGGCTTAAATCAAGAGTAATTTATTATTTCTCACGAGTGCGGCTCTTTTGCTGAGCGTGATGCCGGCCTCAGCTGTACCATCAGGGCCTCACCCGGGGTGGGACACCCACCACAGCCCCATCCCAGGCCCTGCGCCTTCAGGGACGGCTGGATGTTTGGCTCAGCCAGGAGGAGTCTGGGTGCAGTCTCAGGACCATCAAAACACAATCTAAGGGCTGTGTAAGCCCAGGGGTGACCATCCCCTCACCCACATTCCATCAGCCGCAATGCCCAGCTTCACGTGGCAGGGACCACATGGGGCCCCGACGCTGGGAAGCCACCTGTGGGGGAGTCCCCCTTCCAGCTAAAATCTCAGAGCAAACCCTAATTTCCACTGCAGGAGATGCCGGCCACCTAGGGACTGAGGTCGGTGACATTATCACGGGACGGTCTGTTCTGAGGGATGATAAGAACACCACGCAAAGGCAGTGCCTCCCCTCACACCTGATGATTCTTGTACAACTTTATTATATTCTTGAAGACACTGACCAGTGTCTGTATGTACCAGACGCCCCAAACCAGCCACTCCCTTTACGTGAAGCACTTGCTCAGGGCACATGCTGTTCTCTCCTACTGCAGTCACCGCGTGTCACCCTCCAACACAGTCCCCCATCCCAGTGCGGGGGGAGGGAGCCTGCATGGTCATCGGTGTGGCTCTTCCAGCCTGGGTAGGCTCTGAGGTCACTTAGCTGAGACTGGCTGAAAACAGCAACTCTCAGTCAAAGGCACAGGCTCTAGTGTCACAGACGTCACCCTGACGTCCTTGCCTCCCCAAGGACAGAGTCTTCCCACGGAGGACAGCCCCCTCTCCCAGCACAGTGCCATGTCAGGTGTGACTAAACGCTTCAGAATTTAGCTTTTGGAGACGTGTCTTGGTTAATAAGCATTAATCATGTCCCTCTTAAGCAAACTGGTTTAGCCAATTTGTGTTTGCAACTAGGAATAAAATTCAAGCATGGGGACGTATATAAACAGTCGGTGATGTTAGATTACTATTTGGAAAAGAAGGGAAAGGAGCGTGTACTTGGGACTTAACTCAGGGCCTTGGGGCAGTGCCTGGGATTTCTTCATGGGGGCAGCATGGAAAGAGTGTTGGGAGGAGACCTCACCAGACCAGCATTCTTACCAGAACCCTTCCAAAGACGGCATCCCAACCCCCAACCAACAGAAGATAAATTATTTGCCCATAGATAGAAAATGACTTTTCGTGGTAAACTTAAAAGCTATATTAGAATTCAAATTATATTAAAATTTTCATGGACGACCCAAAGCAACACAATGATAATCGTAACTACCTCCCAGAAATTGTCTTTTTTCTTTAGGAGGTGACACATAAATAAATAACATGGGTAGACTTGTTACCGAGTCCCAGCTCGCTCTGCTCGCCGCACAACAGGCCAATGAATCAGAGACGAGGTGCTGAAGCAAAGGAATACGACTTTATTCGGAAAGCCGGCAGACGGAGAAGATGGCGGACTAAAGTCTCAAAATAACCATCTTATCGGGGTTTGGATGCCAGTTTCTTTTATAGCACAGAGAGGGGGAGGAGATGAGGAAGTAAAGTAAAAAGGCCATAAGTTTTGCAAATATCACCGGAATGGCCAGCCTTGGGGAGGGGATGTGTTAGTTTCTTCTTTCTTGCAGCCATCGGCAGGTGGAACAGGGTCCGGATGTTTGCCTGGACAAAGGCACTTTGGTTCAACATTCAGGCAGAGGGGCAGGGTCCCCCGAGGCAGGCCATTATGTACAGATGTTATCCTTTCAGCCAAAAAAAGCAGTGGAAAGCAAAGGATAAAGTAAAAGAAACTGATCCAACATGCAGTCAGATTTGGTTCTTCCCTAGTACAGAATTTCACCTGTTGCTGCCCGGGCACCATCCGCCTCCAACATGAGCGGTCAAACCACTTTCCAGGTTAAGGGGGTTAATGGCCCTTTCCTCAGGGAGCAGTTAGGATACAAGCAAGATGCCTCCCTTATTCGATCACAACATTCAGAGAAGGAAACAGAGCCTCCCAGCCCCCCAAGCCTGGGTTCCCTTGTGATGACTGGGCACAGGCTGACATCTGTGTTCAAGATAAGCCGTAATGGACACCAGGCCTTAACCTCCTTTCTCTCTCCTGGGGCCTGAGCCCCTGTTCCCAGGGCAGGGGAGGGGCTGCAGAAACAGCAGGCTGAGGCCCCTCCTCTTCCCAGGAACGAAGGCCTCTTTCCTGAGAAGCCTCTTCCCATCCATAGGCAGCTGCAGCTCTGGGTCAGGATGTGCTAGGCAGAAGCTACCGCTGCAGGGAGCCCACCATAGGACCACTCTCCTAGTTAGAGGTGGTCCCATTCAGACAGCTGGGTGTAAGGAGGGGGCACCCCTACGCAGAGGCGGCTGCAGGTGTAGATGGGAGTCTGAAGCCAGTGCAGGCTCAGCACACCTTTGTTGAATTTTAAGGAACTCAGCACACCGTGTGTGGGGTACCTCCACGTCCCCTCGGGGAGAGGCTCTGACTGGGCCCTTCCAAACTCCCAGATGCTGTGAGACAATTGAGTCTAAAAACTAGTCCGTTTGTGACCCGTGGGAAAGGTTTTGGGTCAGAGACTGGGTCTTCTGCTCTCCACCACCCAACAGAAAAGAGTGAGAAGACTTCTCTTTCCACTTTCACCTCCATCCAACTCCCTAACAGTGGGAGAGGATTTGTTTCCTCGTAAGCGGCTCTTAATACATTGATCATTTCGTCCCCATCACTGGAGTTTTCGGCTGGAGGGAGGTGGGGACAGAGGTAGGGCAGAGATCTTCCCACCACCAGCCAGGATGCGGCAAAGAAACAGCCCCGAGCAAGCAGCCCAGGGCAGGGCAGGCTCGCTGGGGCACCGCTGGTCTCTGAGGGCACGAAAGCCCCATCTGCTCGCTCAAGGGTACCATGAAGATCTCATCAAACAGCATGAGGAGAGCTCATTGCAGGGAGGGCCTCCCTGGAGCACTTTGGGATCAAGTGCCCCGTCACCCTGACCCCAGCCTGTTGCCCGATTTCGTGTCATTGTGGCCAGGCTGAGTCTGGCAGGAGTCGTACCAAGTGCATCTCAAGGCAACTAACAGTCTGTAGTGGCTGGGCACAGCTGGACAGCATCCTCCTGCCATCACCATTTCCAGATAAACATTGGTGACTGTGTGATTAAAATACGAAAGCCCGGGCCCCATGCCTGGACCCTAACAAAACCAGAGCAGGAGACTGGTCCAAATCAAGAAATTTCAGAGAAGTAGTTCTATAGCATCAGCCGGAGGGAAGTGCAGGTCAAGGGAGCAGCAGGGAAAGGCCACATCCGCCAGGGCCTCTGAGGACATCGGACGTAGCCGTTCAGGGATGCAGCCCGCTTCCCCGCATCACACCCGGGGAGGATCCACCTCGTACGTCTCCTCGATGGGGAAGACCAAACCCAGGGGCCAGACCCCCTGCACCATCCCCACCCCCAGCTATGTCTCTCTGGGTTTGAAATCAGTTATTGTAATTCTCTACCAGCATGGAAGCAATTCTGGAAAACTTACTTTGTACTGGTGCCAACATCTGGGGACGGTACGTAGCAGTAGTGTCCAAAAACTGGGGACAAGCACATTGCATGAGTGTCCAAGATTTGCCTTTGCCACTATTTGTATTTTAAAGAAGAAATGGAATCTGAAAAATGGAAATTACGTTTTATTATTTTTTTTGCAGTGTTTCATTTTAATATCTGAGCCTGGAAGCTATTAAGCTGTCCTTGCATTAAAAGTGACTAAAGCTTGTGTTTGGGGTGATCTATGACCCCTGACTTTGCCCTGGGGACTCTGCCTTTCCGAAGACAAGTGCTGGGATGAGTTATAGGTTCATCGCACCCCATTATTTAAACACCTGAAGCCATTCTTTTCCTTATGAATCAGTGGGGGCGAAGACAAAGAAAAGGGCTTCATGTAACATTTCCCTTCCTCCCTTGGTGACCAGGAAAACAGGAAGGGGGCGAGGCGTGGCTGGAGAAGGGAAATGCAGAGGATGTGTGGGCCGGGGAGAGGCAGGAGATCCAGGCGAAGCGGCAGCTGAGAAGGAGGCCCCTCCAGGCCCAGGAAAGGGGCGGGGGTCCTGGTCTGGGGACAAAGGGGGAGCCACTCCCAGGGCTGTTTTCCAAGGACAATTTACAGTCCCCATTGTTGGCCTTTCCTCTGGGTAATTAAGCACTAAACGGGAGCCAGGGATGCCCAACCATCTTGTCACCGGGCTTCACTTTCCCCGGCATGCCAGCTCTCAGCTGCCTGACCGCTGTGCCGTCCACAAATGCCGGGGAATTTGTCGATGCTGGTCGGCATTCACCTTGCCCAGAACTCAGCTCTGATCTCACGGGGCTAGATACACTTTGGGGCTGTCTGCAGCAGATGAGGGAAGGGTATCTCTTTTGATGATTTATTTCTGAAGCAGGCTTCACTGTGAAATTTAAACCAGAGAGGACACTTCCTTCCTTGGCCTGGGCATCCTGCCTTCTGAAGGTGGCTAGAGCACAGACGTCTTTGCCTAAGAGGGGAGAATAAATAGGTCCGTGAAGGGAATAAAGATGGACCTTAATCCATCTGTTAGACAGAGATGGGTGCTTAATAGAAGAATGAACAGTCGATGAACGTACTCATGTCGCGATGGATAATCTCAGCTGTTTTCTTAAAAGTGAATTTCTGAGATGTGTTTCTGTATTGTGTGTGTGTGTGTGTGTGTGTTTCCCAAATATAAACTGGAGCTCCATGTGGCCCAGTCCCTACGCGGAGTCACGTTCATAGAAGCACAGCACCAAAACCCAAAGAATGAAAAGTTAGCTGCAGTTTTCGCTCAAGGGTCTGGGGAAATACCAAAGGGCATCCAACTTACGGACCAGAGAAACACTTCTTAAAATTCTCTCTATTTGATTCTCTTTTTCTTGAAGAATTCTGTAACCTCTCTCTTTTAATGGCAAAAACTCTCCTTACTTCCAGCCTTTTCTATTTCGGTCCCCTGGGTGCCTTCTCTCAGCATTTTACATGGGCTGACTCTCCTCCTTTCCTGTCCTCCCACCCCAGGCCCATCTTCTTCTCTCTCGTCTCATCAGTTTGGGGGACAGAAACTGGTCCCCCAAAGAGCTGAGGTTGAGATGTAATGCCCAGAATTCCCTTTCTTAGGCCTGTGTCAGGAGGAGAATGGCAGGGGTGTACAATTTGGAAACTTCATTCCTCATGTGAATTTTTACGCACTTCCCTGGCCAAGCTCTGCAGACTCCTGCACAGAAAAGTGCCACCCAGGGGCATCCTCTACTCATGGTCAAGCCCCTCACACGCAGAGACACTTCTCCCAGGGTGGTGTCCCCTCTGGGCCCCTCTGAGACCCTCTGGAGCTGTACCATCCTGAGGCTTCCCTCACTTTTTCACAGGCCTCAGGGCTGTGCGGTGGGACCCTCCAGGGTCTCTGCCTGTGAAAACTCACGCAAGAGGCTGTGTCACCGAGGAAGAACCAGCTGGTATGTCACCCCTGCCTTACTCCATCTCCGCTGGCAGGTGGGGGGCAGGAAGAGGAACCAGGCGATGCAGAGGCTCAAGGCTTCACAACATCCTGGGCTGAAGCAGGGGGGCGTCCAAAAGCCCCCACCTGCCCAGCTTTCACAATCAGGGACTTACTTACTGTTCAGACGACAGGGATTCTGACAGAGGGTGAATCCCCCATGACTGTGCGTTTGGACGTTCTTGAGCAATCCCAGTGCACAGGAAGTGTCTGTGCACCCGTGCGCAGGAGGACAGATCCTCGACCCTGGAGGACAGGCCTCCCTCACCCCCAGGCTGAGAGAACTGTGCCCCAGCTGCCCAGCTCTCTCCCCATTTGCTCTCACACAGGACTTTCCCCTCATAAAATCAGGACACATTGAACCCCCCTGTGGCATCTATTTGGCTCAAAGTGGGCACACCGCAGACCCCCGCTGGGCTGGCTAGAGCAAGAGCCCGATAAACGGACCCCGAGAAATCCTTACACCCTCCATCGTGGAGCCCTTTCCTCGAGGGGCTCACAGCCAGTGCAGAGAAAGCAATGTATGCGACGTAATGATAAAAACAGGGAAGGAGCCTTTCTGGAACCAGCACGGCTGTGAGGGGGCTGGGGGGAAGGGGGGCAGCTTCGCAGCAGAAAAGACTTAACTCGGGCCGTGAAGGCCAGGCCGTCCCTGCTGAAGGGACAGTTGGCACCGAGGTGTTACCCCGGGAGGAGTGGGGTCAGGCCCTGGCACCGAACCTTCCGGAGGAAGAGGGTCTCGTTGAGCAGACCCCAGCCCCTGGCGCTGGTAGGACCCCAACTTTCCTCTGTCTAGCACCCCTTCTTGTTTTCCGTGTACTCATCACGTTTGTAATTTGGCCTAATTGATTCAGTTGTGTGTTGAACGTCCATCTCCCCCACCAGACAGCACAGCACGTGAGTGAGGCCTTAACATCTCGGTTCAGCCAGTGTCCGGCACTGTGGCCGGCAGGCATGTCAGAAGGTTCTCTGCAGCATCTGTCAACAGAGACATGAAATACCTTGGCTGCTGCCTCCCTGCCCCCCACTCCGCACCCACAGACACGAAGAGGAGGTCGGGTCTCTCCTTGAACTGTCCCGGGCGCCAGCCCCTGAGAGACTGACTTCCAGATGGTCCGGGCCTGTTCCAGGGACACGAGGGCCTGGGCCAGGACCGATGGCAGAAGCAGCCGCAGAGGGGGCACCTGGGCACCCTCTGCTTCAGGGAGCTCTACTTGGGGGACCCCCTTGGGGAGGGATCCACTGCTGTGAATTCCCTCAGGGACCCCCCGTGCCTCAGCCAGCTCCCACCAGCCACTCCTTCTTTGCAGCTCTCGACAGCCCAAAAGGGTGAGCCTGGAGCAGCAAAGGCCCTGGGAGGCTGCTCTGGGCCTGACTCCCAGATGGGGGGGACCGTGCCCTCTGCTGGCCAGGCCCCGTGGAGCCTGGGAAATCAGCAGCAGGAATCTGGAGCATTCTGTAGGAGCATCTGTAAAGCCGGCTGCTCGAATGGCTTAGAATGATGGGCTTAGAACCCTCAGCTCTTGGGCAGGCATCCCCCTGCCCGGGGCCAGGGCGGGACAGCAGGACGGCCTGCCACGTGTGGACTCATGACATACACCCCTCATCTTTTCAGTCTGGAATCGCCTCGTTCACAAGCCCCAAAGGAGAAGTGTCGTTGATCCTTTACGACCAAACTGCCAACCTTTACCGCAAACAGCATTACCCAGCCAGTTTGACGCTCCATTATGTATGGTGGTTCCCAGCAATATATCCAGCCTTCAAGGATAAAGGCTGGACATTCAAAAGAAGCCACGGATTCGACACCTGGAACCAAGGGGGCTCTAGAAGCACGGTGACCACCCCCGGCCCCAGGTCCCCAGCCTGGGTGGGAGCTGAAAGCCACATCTGTTAGACAGAGCCCCTCAACAGAGGAGGGGTCCCCCCCCGGGATGCCTGGGGGTGGGACAGACAGACCACAGGGCTGGTTTGGGGTGGGGAAGCGGCAGTGAGCCTCTTCTCACCGGACCACGTACAAGAATCTACTCTTCAGGCACCAAAGATTTACTGAGCATCTCGTGTGAGCGGGCTCCCTGCCGTGCTGGGGGTCCAGCCCCAGGCCGGGTGCCAGAGCTCACTCAGAGGAGGGTGTGCTACACTGAGGTGGAGGGAGGGATGGCGGAGGGCGGGCACGGCACGGGGGCCGGGAATCAGCGCTCACAAAGCCCTGAGTGGGCAGGCGAGGCAGCGCGGCCGAGGAGCGGAGCGGAAGGCCCCGTGGCTGAAGGGCTGAAAGCAGGGAATGAACAGAGGGAGGCTGCGGGCAACCAGAGCCCTGGAGGCCTAGTCCTGAAAGCCAGGGGAGGCCGTGGAAGCCCATTAAGATGGAGGGGGGAATGGGGGGGACATCCATGGTGGTGAGGTTGCTTGGACGCAGAGGGCAGCAGGGCACACTATAGGTGACATGAACAGTCCCGGGGACAGTTGGTGACCTGGAATTTGAGCCCCAGAGGCGTGCTCAGTTCTTCTTCCCTCACACCCATGAGGCGCAGCCCGTCTGCTCATCAGAATCACCGGCAAGCTGTACAAAATGCTGATGCCCAGGCCCCGCCCCCAGAGACTCCGGTTTCTCAGGTCTTCTGGGTTTACTCCAGACCATCCTGATGAGGAACAAGGTTTGAGGGTACTTCCCCGAGAACCCTAAGTCTTCCTCTAACCTCCGGGGCTGGTGTAGCTGAATGGGGCAGCGTGGGGGTGGGGGAAACAGGCAGGCTGCACCTGATGGCCCTCACGGCCATGGGGACCCCGAGGCCCCGCCATCCGCCATCCTCCATCCGCCATCCGCCATCCGCCATCCGCCATCCTCCATCCTCCATCCTCCATCCGCCATCCGCCATCCTCCATCCTCCGTCCGCCATCCTCCATCCACCATCCGCCCGCCATTCATTCGACAGGACTTAGTGTCACCTTTCTTCTCCCTCCCTCCCGCTCTCTGGAGCCTGTCTGGTGGCAGAAGCGCAAGAAAGGGAGGGAAAGGAAGTTCAACCAGGCCAGTTCCCAAGTCCATCCTGGGGAGGTGACCTGGCTGGTGAACGGGGCTCCCGTGCTGCCCCCTCTCCCCACGCAGCGAGGGCCTGGCCACAAGCTCGCACGGCTATCCCAGGGCACCTGGCCTTACAGATATGCCTCCTTCCCGGCCTGTTGTCACATTAGGCCAGGGTGAGAGTGCCACTTCCCCTCCCAGGTGGCAGCAGGACTGCCCGTGGGCCACGCCCTGGGTCAGACACTGGCTGCTCTGAGAGCTTCTTCCCAGGTCTGTCCATGTGGGGCCTTTTCCAGGGAAACGCTATCAGCTGTGAGAAAGAGAACACACATTCTGGAAATACCGAAAAACAAGTTTATTCCATTACCCACGTGACCAAAATGCACGAGAGCTGTGGTTCATGGTTTCTCCCAGGCCCGTCCCGCTGCATCCCCCTTCCTCTGTCCCCCCTCAACCTGTGTATCCCCTAACCCACCCTCTCCCCTGCCCCAGGCCTTCCCCCTCACTGCACTCAGCTTCTGAAATTCACGTCTCAGCTGCTTTGGCAGCACCCCGAGGCTCTGAGGCCAAAGAGGCGCAAAACTTCTCATCAGAACCAGCCTGCGTGGCCCTCCCTGCGTGAAGCCGGGGCTGTGTCCCCTGGCACGTTTCTCGAGCAGCGCCTGCCACTCAGGGGCCCCGCACCGCCAGCTCCATCGCGCTCCTGGCACTGACACCCCCAAGGGTCTGGCGGCGAGCAGCCTAAGGCAGCAGGTGAGCTGCGTGCTCAAACCCGACAGCTCAGGAAGAGGCCTGTGTCGGTGCCGCCCACTTGTTTCCTGAAGACCCACAAGTCTGTGTTTAATATATTTTAGAACAATGTCTGGAAACTGCAGTTTACTTTTGCAAACATACATACATGTCTAAACGTCAACAGTGTGGACAATTTTACTCATAACCTAAGGATGCCAGACAGGGGACCTTGAGTGTCGTGGCCATGCCACTGTGGCTGTTTCATCTCTGGGCGCAGGGAGAGCTTTGAGAATCAGAGGCCACATGCGTCCGGGCTCTTGTGGCCGGCACTACAGTGGGTGCCGGGGTGGAGACGCAGAGACAGATCAAGTCCCCGTGCTCAAGGGGCTTGTGCTCTGGGTGGGAGCTGCAGACATCAAACCAACAGCTAAACAGGAAGAGGTGCAGCGCCAGCACTCACACCAAACGGTTCTGTGACCGTGGCTGGGTGGGGCGCCTCCGTGGCAGGACGACCAGGGAGAGTGGCCTCTGACCCAGACTCAGGGTGGAGCCGCTGCAAAGACCCTGGGCGGGGCTTTCCGTAGAGCTGCATGGCCCTGGAGCCTGATGAAGCTCGAGTGTGCAAAGAGGTCAGTGTAGCCGAGCGGAGCAGGGCCAGGGCACGACGAGAAGGCCTGGGGACTACGGGCAGAGGCCAGCACAGCTTCCGTCACAGGTGATGGGGACACGTCGTGTGCTGACAAGCCATGTCCAAGCAGGCGTGGCAGGACCTGAGTTATGTTGTAAAAGGCCACTCTGGGAACTCCGTGGAGAAGAGGACACAAATGCATCCTTTTGCTCTCTCTTCCTTTAGGCAGTGGGAAGTCAGGGGGAGGCCCCGGCAGGACACCACCAGGTGGGCCACCGTGCCCCGGCCACCGCAGGGGTGAGAGAGCACATGGCCAGAAAAGAATGACGCGTGCTGCCGCTCGGGACTTTTGCCTCCGCTCCAGTCCTCCCGGGTTTACTTTCTTTTTAAGAAATTTTACTTTAGAAAATGCTAATTGAGAAATGCAAGCAGAGGACAGCTGAACCCCACCCGAGAACCCCTGCCGAGGGCCCATCCTCAGAGGGAGTTTCCTCAGGCCGTCCTCAGTCTGTAAGAAGAGGACACATGGACACTGGCTGCAGGGCAGCTTCAAGGGAGGTTTGGTTTGGTTTGTGTTTTGTGTTTTCGTGACTATTTCAGCATCCCCGTCACTCGGCACACTAGCTCCTCTGAAGGACTTGCTGATACACGTAGCCCCTTCCCCTCTCAGCAAAAGAGGACCTTCGGGGGGGCAGACTCTCCCCGCGCCCCCAGAAGTGGCATTGTGGCCAGACAAAGATCTCCCTGTGGAGCACAGAGCTCTGGACCACAGTCTGCGGTGAGACAAAGCTGACGTGCTCTTGGTGAGATCATTGAGTCCCTAAACCACAGGAAGTGCCCCAGAAGCAGGGGTCAGAGTGGAAGACACTGAGGACGCTCGCTGTCACGGCAAGGACCTCAGACAGCTGGAGGGGGCGAGCTTACTCCGCCCGGGCAGCTAGAACCACGCACCTAGCTCAGGTGGACCATAATCACAGGAGTTTAGTCCTCCCAGCTCTGGAGGCTGCAGGTCCAAGATCAAGGCACCGCACATCCAGCTTCTGCTGAAAACCCTCTTCCTGCTTCACAGGCGCCCATCTTCTCGCTGTGTCCTCAAGTGGAGGAAGGGGCAAGGGGGCTCTCGGGAGTCTCCTTTATGTGGGCACTAATCCCTTTTATGACCTAATCACCTCCTAATGCCATCACGCTGGGGGAATAGGTTTCAACATAGGAACTTGGGGACACAGTCAGCCCATAGCACCCCCATGTCAGCTGCACGGAGCCAGACCTACAGGGACCAGAGAGGGCAGAAGAAGCCAAGGTGGTACGCGCCCAGCAGCCGACCCAAGACAAGGATGCGAGTGCTCATAGGTTATCTGATCCCAGGACACCGGAGTGGGGAGGCGGAGCTGAGACAGAGACGGGAGTGACCCACACAGCAGTCCTGCTACAGGCAACCAGGGCTTCCCACGGAGGGAGGTGGCGGGGTGCCTCTACCCTCCCCGCCGTGAGTCACAGGTTGGGGTCTGCTCCTGGAAGGTGCTAATTCCCCCCACTTCGGTCCTGCACACTAGCAGGCCCCATGGCCCAAGTGAGCCCTCGGGCAGAGGCAGGAGGCCCGCGTGCCCTGAACGGGGAAGGGCATGGGGCCGCGGAGGGCACTGACCGCTCACCAAGTGGCCCATGGACGTCTCATTTCCGATCCGCAGGGCTCCTCTCCCCACACTTACGATATGCTTCACTCTGTCCTCTGTCCGCCCGTGGCCAGGCCCACCCATGACCCTGGCACTGCCCTTGCTTTGCATCCCTGCCCACCCTCCGTCGTGAGCACAGTGCCCCAGCCCCCCGGGGCCACGGGCAGTGGGCGTTTCATCCATGCTCAGCCACATTTCAGCAACTCAAATACTTTAGCAACTAACAAAGACCCAATGTGTCCTCCCAGGGGGGTTCGCTCTATTTTATTTTACAATTAATTTTTCAACTTTATAGAGGCTTTATACACATGGAATAAAATAGACCATAAAGGGTACAATTCAATGAGTTTTGACAGACCTCTACTCCTGTGTAGCCACCAGCTCAATTAAGATACTGAATATTTCATCACACCCGAAGGTTCGGCACATCCCTTCAAAATCACCCAAGTCACCCCAGACCAGGGAACCGCTGATCTGCCTTTTGCCCTACACATGAGTTTCACTTACCCCAAATTTCACAGTTTTCCTTCGGGTCTGCCTGCTTAGGTGTCGCCTCCCGCGCCAGGTCATTCCTTTTTGTTGCTGAGTCGTGTCCCGCTGTACAATGGACCACAGCTGGGTTGTTTGTCCAAAGGCATCCGGGGCTGGTGCAGTCCGGGGCCGTCGTGGAGGAAGCTGGTGTGGGCGTTCAAGTTAGGTCTTTGTGTGGGTCTAGGTTGCCGTCTCTCTTAGGTAAGTACCTCAGAGTGGAATTGCTGGTAAGTTAAAGTTTAACTTTATAAAAAGCTGCCAGTCTGTTTTCAAAGTGGATGCCCTTTCCATTTATTTTTTTAACAATTAATACATGAATGATCGTTGTAGAAAAAATAGAAAATACTGAGAACTTTAGAAAAATAAATATCTGAACTACCTCTACCCGGAAATAAGCGTCTTAACCACGTGTTCACAGAGCATTGCCTTGTCAGCCGTCATTTGGGTGCAAAGAATGGAAATTATGTCCAGCACAAAGGAATATTCTGAGCCGGACAGAGAGGCATCTATGGGTGACAAGGGGGAGGGGACACAGCTGAACTCCATGATGGTGGCCATTCTGGAGCTCTCTCTGTCTCTCTTGCTCGCTCCCAGGGGCCAGGGGCCCTCCCTCTCTAGCCCCCAGTCCAGTCTCCCTGCAACAGGTGACTCCCTTGGTTGGCTTCTGACCCACATGCCTCCCTCCCCAGTGGTTACATCAACAGCACTTGAGCTCAGAGCTGTCTGCTTTCCAGGACTCGGTTTGTGTTCCCAAAAGAACGAATCTGGTTGGCTCAGCTTGGTTCAGCCATGCTCTCCTGGTCCCTGACACAAAGCAGGCCATGGGCCACGGGCCACGGGAGGCTCTCCACGGGGAGTTGTGGGTAGGAAAAGAGTGATGAGCGTGACTAACACGGACCCCCGACCCAAGACCGTTCTAAAGAAAAGGTTCGATAACCTGTATTTTTTAAATGTATAATCTCTTGTGTACACCCTTTCGTGTCACTGAAAATATACCTTCACCATCATCTGAAGAGACCACATCCTGGTACCCTATAAATGCATGAACCTCGATGGATCTAACAAATGCCCTAAACATTCAGATTGTTTCTCATTATTCCCTCTAAGAAATCACTTTTTGGTGAACATTCTTGTACATAAATATTTTATTTTTCTCTTAGGAAGACTTTCCTAGGATATTCTAGAGCCAACATCTACAGCCACAATTTTATTCCGTCTTCACCGTGAAACAGGGAATAACGCGTCCACTTTACAGATGTGGAAACGGAGGCAACATGAAAGCAGCCGAACACCCGCAGGTGAGAGAGCTGGGATTCCAAAAGCTCTGTCCGCAAGGCTTCCAGGAAGGTCCTCCTCCACCCTCCCCACCTGTGGGCACGAAACCACATTCATGCCTGGACCTGGGCCAGGTGGACCGTAGGTAACAAGCCCAGCCCCCCGGAAGAAGTGTCTGTTCCACACAGAGCCTGCTTCTGGGCACAGACGAGAACTTCCACGGTGGTGCTTGGGGTCAGATCTTCCCCTGCACACACCAGAGGTGTCCTCTTCTGAGTAACACCCCACCCACAGCCAAGAGGAGCAGAAGGTCTGGATGAACGATGCCACAGAGGAACAGACGACAGCCGTGAGCTGTCGGACTCTCTCCAAGGACACAGGAGCCCTCAGAGGTGACGGCCTGAGGCTGTGAGCAGCCCAGGGATGGGAACTGTCACAAGCCAACAACAGAGGAGCTGCTCCGTTTTTCCCATTTTATTCTTTCCTTTCCAGATAAAACTGCACTTGGGCTGCTCTAGAGGTGGGGTCCCCAGAGTCTCTGTCCTGGATGTTGGCAACTGCCTGGACAAACCTTTCCAAGGGAGTGGCCAGGTCGCTGTGAGGGTCAGAAGACAGGAACAGGACCACGGCAGCTGTGGGCGGTTGGTGTGTGGGACTCTGGGAGTGGCCGTCTCCTCCCCCCGCCACCCCGGCCCCTTCCTCGGTGTCTCTCTCCAGGCCTGGACCACATACTGAGTGCAGAGGCTTCATCGCTGCCTTGGGGGTTGGGGGACAGCCCTGCCAAGTGCCATCCTGAAGGTCAGCCACCCAGGAGACCCAGACCAGGCCCTGCTCGGGACCCGGAGAGCCATCAGGCACTCAGGAGCTGGGGCAGCCCCTTCACCTTTTCTGGATGGGAGAGGCCCTTGTTTGCGGAGCCTATCCTGAGGGTGACAGAGGACAACCCCTCATTCCCAGAGGAGGACGATGCAGCAGCTGCAAACAGCTGATGGGGTGGAGAGCTTTCCCAGACCAAAAAGGCCCCGTGACCTGTCCCCCACGCATGTGTTAAAGGAAAAAGGAAAGAGAAGGAAAATGGGATTCCACCTGTGGTCGGTCACCAGGGCCCAGTTCAGGAGGAGGGTTAAACCCCCTCGCGTTTCAGAAGCCAGGTTTGCAGGACGGCTCGCCTCCCCTCCGGCTCAAAATGTCCCTCGAGCTGCTTACTCATGAGGCTGCCCTGACAGCTGTTCTGACCATGCCTGCGAGGCTGGGATGGCTCGTGGTGACTTGGTGTGGCCCCTTGGCACACTGGGACGGTTAAGGAACCCGCCTATTGTGCTTGGTACCAAGAGACGCTTCATGGCTAACTGCCGTTGTTGGTAGCACTGTTATCACTTATAGGGTAAGTATCCTTCACAGCAGCCCCTGCTCACCGTACTGAGCTCACACTCAGAATCTACACAACGCATCCCTTTTCAGTCAAGCTCCAATGCCGTCCTGAAGCTGGGAGGACGTCTTGCAGGGGGTCTGTGTCTCCAACAGATGCCCGCACACCCGCTGCTCGTTGAGATCCAGCTTGTCTGTGCCACCAGGAGAAAGGATGTTCTCTGCTGCTGGGAGGGTTTCCTGGTCACTGGACTCCTGAAAGGAGCCCAGCCTGGCTGAAGGGGGACGTGAGCGAGTGTGCTCCGTGACCCTCTAGCAGCCCTCACACGTCCGCTGGCCCGTGTCCCCTCCCCAGGCCCTTCCTCTTCTTCAAATCATCCCAGACCAGAAACTCGACTTAACGTGTGACTTGCCCCCTTAGTTGTGGTGAAATTATATCACTCAGAGCAGTTTTATAGACAAAGATTCAGAATGAGGGCACGGCACGAAGAGGGATGTGTTAAGCCACTCGGGTGGGGTCACAAGGGCCATTCATGGCCAGGCTTTGAAGGCTGAACGGGAGCTCAGGCAAAGCAGGAGAGGAGGGAATGATGATGGCAGAGGGGGTAGAGGGGGTGGGAAGGTCCAGGGGAAGGAAACGACGTGGATCTCAGGGCACACCCACTGCCCGAGGAGCAGGTGAGGGAGGAGAGGAAGAGCTCCCAACCTTCAGCCATGCTGGGGGGAGAGCCATACCAGGGAGAGCCATGCCAGGGAAAGCCACGCTGGGGGTGCTGGCTCCAGAAGGCCCAGCGGCACCTCAAGATTATAAACCATGATTTTTCCTTCTTAAAAAGGTGACTTGTTTGATGTATAGCCCAGATATCAGCTCCAGCCCCAAGTTCCACAAGCTCCCCAAGATGTCTGCCCATCCCCCAAATCTATGATTATGTATACAGAATGCCTGCTGTGTACCAGGCACAGTTCAAGCAGCAACAATGAAGCAATAGAGCAGGGGTCCCCAACCCCCAGGCCTCAGATGGTACCAGTCTGTGGCCTGTTAGGAACTGGGCCTCAGAGCAGGCGGTGAGTGGTGGGCAAGCAAGCTAAGCGTCATCTGTATTTACAGCCGCTCCCCATTGCTCACATTACCATCTGAGCTCCACCTCCTGTCAGATCAGCGGGGACATTAGATCCTCTCAGGAGCGTGAACCTTACGGTGAACTGCGCGTGCGAGGGAGCTAGGTTGCTCGCTCCTTATGAGAATCTAATGCCTGCTGATCTGAGGCGGTGACGCTAGTGCTGGGGAGCGGCTGCAAATACAGATAATCATTAGCAGAGAGGTGTGACTGCACAGAAACCATAAGAAATCAATTGGTTGCAGACTCATATCAAAACGCTATCAGTGAGTGGCAAGTGACAAGCTGCCTCTGGTGCAGGCTTTAAGTCAGAATCCAACACTTATTTTAGTCCGCGAGTAGCCCGCCCATTATTTTATTTACCACTTCGTCTGTGCCGCTTTCCCGCACTGCGCACTTGTCTCAGTCACGGTTTTGGTAAGCCCACAGGCTAACCCGAGACAAAATGAGTAAAAAACAAACGTTGCTGGAGAACTTCTTTGAAAAAGGGAAATGACCCAATGATGAGACAGCAGAAGACTCTAAGACTGCCAACCCAAAGAAAGCTGCATTTGAAAGAAAATACCAAGAGTCCTACTTAAATTACACGTTCAGTGCAACAGGCGATTCACATTCTCCAAGCCCGCTTTGTGTAATATGTGGCGACCGGCTATCCAACGAAGCCATGAAACCTTCAAAATTGCTTCGCCACATGGAGACCAAGCACCCTGCATTAAAAGACACGTTTTCGGAGTTTTTCAAAAGAAAAAAAACATGAACACAAAGAACAGAAGCAATTATTGAAGGCCACCAATTCATCAAATGTGTCTGCACTGAGAACATCATTCTTGGTGGCTAACCGCATTGCTAAAGCTAAGAAGCCCTTTACTATTGCTGAAGAGTTGATCCTGCCTGCTGGTAAGGACATTTGTCGTGAACTTTTAGGAGAGGCTGCAGTTCAAAAGGTGGCACGTGTTCCTCTTTCGGCTAGCACCATAACTAGACAAACTGATGAAATAGCAGAGGATACTGAGGCGCAATTGTTAGGATTAATGAGTCACTGTGGTACGCAGTCCAGGTTGACGAGTCTACCGATGTTGATAACGAGGCAACAATGCATGTTTTTGTGCGACATATTTTTCAGGAGGATGTGCATGAGGATATGTTATGTGTAATTTTGTTGCCAACCAACACCACAGCTGCAGAACTATGCAAGTCTTTGAATGATTACATATCAGGAAACCTGAATGTGTCATTTTGTGTCGGTATATGCATGGACGGAGCGGCTGCCATGACCGGACGGCTTTCTGGTTTAACTACTTGAGTCAAAGAGTCGCTTCTGAATGAGTCTATGCGCTGTGTCATCCATAGAGAAATGCTGCCTAGCCAAAAAATGTGACCTGAAATTAACAATGTTTTGCAGGATGTGATTAAAATTATCAACCACATTAAAGTACATGCCCTTAACTCACATCTGTTCGCGCAGCTCTGTGAGGAGATGGACGCAGAGCACACACGTCTTCTCTTATACACAGAAGTGAGATGGCTTCCTAAAGGTAGATCACTGGCCAGAGTTTTTGAGTTACGAGAGCCGCTCCAGAGATTTCTTTTAGAAAAACAGTCACCACTGGCAGCACATTTCAGTGACACAGAATGGGTCACAAAACTTGCTTACTTGTGTGACACATGCAACCTGCTCAACGAACTCCATCTGTCACTTCAGGGGAGAACGACAGCTGTGTTCAAGTCATCAGATAAAGTGGCTGCATTCAAAGACAAACTGGAATTAGGGGGGCGACGAGTGAACATTGGGATTTTTGACCTGTTTCAAACATTAGCAGAGATTTGTTTTTGTTTTTTTTTCGCAGTACGCGGCCTCTCACTGCCGTGGCCTCTCCCATTGCGGAGCACAGGCTCCGGATGTGCAGGCCCAGCGGCCATGGCTCACGGGCCCAGCCGCTCCGCGGCATGTGGGATCTTCCCGGACCGGGGCACGAACCCGTGTCCCCTGCATCGGCAGGCGGACTCTCAACCACTGCGCCACCAGGGAAGCTCTTAGCGGAGATTTTGAAAGAGACTGAGGCAGGGCCTTCTTTCTCCCAGCCAGTGCAGGATCACCTATCTCAGCTTTCAAAAGAGTTTGAGCATTACTTCCCAACCACAAAAGGCCCCCAAACTGGGAAAGAATGGATCCACGACCCATTTGTGAATAAGCCAGGTGAATCGACTTTGTGCTAGAAGAGGATCAAGTGCTTGAGATCGCAAATGATGGTGCCCTTAGAAGTATGTTTGAGACAACTTCAAATCACCATACGTTCTGGATTAAAGTCAAGCCGGAATATCCTGAGATGGCCACAAAAGCACTGAAAAGCCTGCTTGCATTTCCAACACCCTATCTTTGCGAAGCAGGGTTTTCCGCAGTGACAGCAACCAAAACAAGATCACGGAGTAGACTGGACATAAGCAACACACTTTGGGTGTCACTGTCTCCCATCACCCCCAGATGGGACCGTCTAGTTGCAGGAAAACAAGCTCAGGGCTCCCACTGATTCTGCATTATGGTGAGTTGTATAATTATTTCATTATATATTACAATGTAATAATAATAGAAATAAAGTACACAATGAATGTAATGCACTTGAGTCATCCCGAAACCATCACCCACCCACCCGGTCCGTGGAAAAACTGTCTTCCACGAAACGGGTCCCTGGTGCCAAAAAGGTTGGGGACCACTGCAATAAAGAACGTCTGCCCTCACGGGGCTTCGATTCCACTTGGGGCAAAGGAGGTGAGGAGAAACAGATAACAAACAGAGCAGAATGTATTGAAGGTCCTGTGGAGATAATTGCCATGAAGAAAAATCAGTGTGAGGCTGAGTAAGAGATGAAGCTCTAAGCCATCCTTCTTCCTCCCTCCCCTCCCCCTCCTCCGTCCTCTCTGCGGATTATGACGCAAAGCTTGTGTCCTCACTTCTCCTTTGCTGCCTTTGCTTCCTCTGGAGATAATGAGCCTATGCACATGTCTTTCCATACCTGGTAGAACATTGAGCTCAGCTACTCAGGGGAGCACTGTTGTCTCCCGTTAATTTCCCAAAAATCACTTTCTCTATAAATAACTCAGGCAATTAAATTGTTTAGAAAACCTAAGGGTTTGCTGAGAACAAACATCACATTGTCCACATGTTAACTGGAAGGTTACCAAATGATTCCTGTTTTCCAATCTGATTGTTAAAACCTGATAAGTCAGCTTATTTTTGTTAACAAAATCGCTGGATTCCTCCTGCTACATGATGTTCAAGTGACTTAACAGAGATTGGAGGCAAAAATTGGACATGAGGAGTAGCCAGGTTCACAGTGAGTTTCTATTCACAGACTAATTAGAATGAGTTGTGATGATGTTAGGAAAGGTGGGCTCATCTAGGTGTGCAAACAAGGCCTCCTGGCTCATGGAAGAACTAAGAATAGCATGGCAGCCCTTCTCATCACACTGGGCTACTGAGACCTTGTATTGTTCTGCCCTCAGGAGAATATTTTTGTTTTGAAGATTTCTAACCAGCTTTTTCTCTGGGGGGGTAATCTTAATAGAAACAGGCTCTTTTCCCCCCTTAACACTTCAAAGTTTCCCCAAATAGTCCTTGTGGAAAATACAATGGCACCAAAGAAGAAAATAAGATTATCACCTCCCTGCCATCTGTGGGCATAAAAAGATTGGTCCCCAAACCTCTGTTCTCTGTGTTGAAAAGCTTGCCTGGAACAAGGTCATGGTGTGGACATGCTTTGGACGGGTCAGTTCCTGAGCAGGCCCTCTATAAATTCTTGGAGATATTAGGAAAAGTATTTAAAATGTGTCAAAAGGGCCAAAAAGTGGGTGGCACGACCTTCTATGACCACACTGGGTGATGTTTAACAAGAGTACCCAAGGATTCTTCAATTATCTGGGGGAACGGGGCGTACTTGACCTGCCGTTTCCTATGATTTGAGGTTAGACACTGTGAAATTACACAGTACATTAGAGACCAAGTCTAGAACAGATGCATGTAATTTCTGCCCTGTAGGAAAATAATCCCAAATATCACAGTTTTATTGCCCTGTAGGGCATTAACCAGCCATTGTTGGTCCTGAGGCAGTAAACTTATCTCGGGATGCTGTTTGGGAGGCAGGAGGCTGGAACCCTGATCCCCTACTCCGTTCTGAATTAGCTCCTCCCCCTTACTGACTCCCTCACTGATGAGCTAAATGCAATACTGGGCTTGTATTCCTTCTGCATTGGGGTGAGTCTCATTTTTAACTCTTCTAAGACTGGGCCTTGACGGGAAGGACAAATTACCAAGGTGACGCTGTCCTGGGTGTTGACTATGTCGAGCTCCCCTGAGCCTGGCCCTTCTTTTAAGAACTTGCCCTCCCTCTGTTCCTGGCAGCGGCTCGCTGCAAAGAACCACCCCCCAGGGAACTTTGATGAGACGCACAGATGACCTCCCTGCTCACCTATGACAGGACCGCATACACACCCACATGCCCAGGTGTGGCCTCGTAAATGATTAGCTGAGTTGCCTGTCGCCTCTGGACCAACGTAGACAAACACCCGCTCACCTGGCTCACCTGAGCTACCCAAACTTTAGTGAAGCTTCTCCTTATCCCCCACCAGGCCCCTGGACTTTGGCCCAATGCAGCCTGAGCTCATCGGAATGCGGACACCCTTCCCCAACACCCCTCTTTAAGCCCCCTCCCGAGAACTGTGCTGTCAGGATACCTCCCTGTCAGGCCCCTGCCCTTCCCCACCCATAGGTCCTTGCTGGCCTCGCTGACCCACCCTTTCAAAGAAGATGCCCCCCCCCCCGCCTGCCCTCAGGGCCCCTGGCAGACCTCATGGTCTGACCATCTCCCTGCTGCAATGGCCCCTCCCTTACTGAGCAGAAGGCCCTCCTCGCCTACATCGGGATCTGTTTTGATTCAACCCCGTTCTGACCCTGTGAAGAGGAAGGGCCGAGCCTGAGGCTCCCTCACAGCCTATTTGTCCTACCCTACCTGCCTCTTCTCAGGACCCAGATCTAGGGCCGCCCGCTGTCCACACTGCTGGCCATGTGCCTGACCCTGAAGGGGACAAGGCACTTCTAATATTCAGTGGTTTTCTCCAGCATCTTGTTACCCAACATGTGTGCACACCTCCAAGGCATTCAAGCAGCTTGAATTGGTGGACGCAAGGGTCAGGGGTCAGGGAGCAGAGGCTGCCCTGGGTCGGGGGGACTTTCTTCCACCCCCACCACTGTTGGGGCCTCTCCTCACTGTGTGGGTGTCCTCACAGTAGCTCTCTGTTCAGGTAGAAACTGGGCCACACCTTTGTGTGGTACTGTCAGTAACGTACAGACTCACTTATGTTCACTACAGGTGAGCAGGGGTCTCTAATGCTCTCTCTTTCCATCATCCCTTTTAGCCCCAGGAAAAGGGGAGAACAGATGCCACTTGGAAGAAGCAGAGTGCATAACTCAGAGCTCCGAAACATCATTGAGAGGGTGTGATGTCACCTCCAGGCCGGGCACCAGGGGTGGAGGGAGCCAGGTCAGCGGCTGCCTCCGTCTCCAGGCCACCATCCAGCCTGAGGGTGACGCCTGGAGCAGGAAGGCAACTGCGTTGCTCCTTCCAAGCCCTGGGGGCAGCAGACCACCCCAGCCTCAGGGCAGCGCCTGACCACGAAGACCCTGGGGCCAGCCTCAGGCCAGGGCCACAAGGCTGGTCAGATACACCCCATAAATTCCCACGTTTCTGGAGAGGAATGCAAGCGGTGCCTGAGGACCAACTCTGGAAGGCGGACCATCTCAGAACAGCCTGGTCAGTCTGCAGAGGCCCCCGGCAGCATCGCAGGGGCTTCCAGGGCGGGTGACGGCCACACGCTTGGCCCACTGTCCTGCTGACTCAGAACAAAGCAGCATGTCTTCATGAACCCAGGGGCCTGGCACGCAAAGAATAGATCGTAGAGACTTACTTCAGCTGTCTCAGAATCCTCTGTGGAACAAAGAGAGAGACGAGGAGGGAAGGAGGGCGAGAGGGGCAGAGAAGATGGGGGGGATGGAGGGAGGAAGGAAAGGGAAGGGAGGGGAGGGGAGGGGAGGAAAAGACAAGGAGGGAAGAGGTTAGTCCCCTCCATCCCCACCACTCCCTCTCAAGTTCAGGAAACATGATGGAAGGATGCAGGGGTGCAGGGTTAGGGTGGCCCGTGCACGTCCCCTTTCCCTGCGCCCACCTGTCGGCCGCTCTGCTCTTCGTGTTCTTGTCCCTGGTCCCGGCAGGAAGGTGAAATGACCCACTTGCCCGAAGTGCCTGTTGAGCTAACCCGTCATCAGGGCCACCGTGAGACGGATTTCCTGACAGCACACTCTTGTGCAAGCAGGTCCCTGCTCGACACTTCTCAACAAGGCAAAGACCCTACCGTAGGTGGGAGGTTACATTCCAGCCATACGCTGAGCTTCCCCGGAAAAAGAGCGTGGTAGGGAGGGGGGCTCAGGACTTGCTGGAAGGGGTCATGTGTCCTGATCGTGAGGCTGTGAACGTAGCACATAACGGCTTGTCCTGAACCTACTCAGTCTCACCAAACCCTGCTTTCCCTCCCAGGCCAGGCCCTGCAGGGAGCAGGCCGCGCCGGGCTCTGTGCTGGGTGTGTGGGGTGCAAGCCAGACGCCCCGTGACCATGGCCCTGGGGAGGTGCAGCTGAAGTGATGCGGCAAGTCCCCTCCCGGCTGGAACGCTTTGTGAGTTAGTTTCCTATTGCAGTGCCGATGACAACAGAACACAATAGCAGGACCTCTGAGAGGTTGTGCTGTTAAATGAGATAATGCACAGTGTCTTTTGACCAGTGCCGCGGTTGAAATCAATGATGAGTTGTTGCTGGATTAACTGCTGTTTTTTGAAATACATATTTCTCCAAAGAAAGAAGGGTTGGGGGGGTGTACTTCGGAGGCGTATATATAAAGCTGGGGACCCCAAACCATCACGAGAGTCTGGTGAGGGGTGTTTGGGGCCATGGCACCTGCCAAGGGGGCAGCGAGAGGAGTGGGGAGGTCGCCCTGGTGTGGGGGAAGGGCACCGCACCGGGCCCGGAAGGTGACTCGGCCTTGAGAGCGGAGCCCTGTCAGTGATGGTTCGCAGAGGTGAGGCCCCAGACCTGCTCACTCCACGCTGCCTGGAGAAACCCCAGCCTCTTCCCAGGAAATCCCCTTTCCATTTCAACTGACTCAAGCTGGTCTCCTCTGCTGCAGAAGAGAAAGGGGCCTGAGGCAAGCTGCCAGCTGCTTTTGTGTGTTTAGGTGCCGTCCTCTCTGTGCCCAATGGCTGACGTGCAGCAGAGATCCTGGTGGTGGTTCCAGCAGAAGCTTCTACACCCCGAACAAGCTTGGAGACCATCTCCGGGCAACAAGTCTTCACTTGGGAAATCAGGAGGTGGCCCTGCCCTCCCACCAGCTCTAGCGGGCCTGGGTTCTGGGGCTGATGCCAAGCTCTGCCAGCAGTGGACAGAGACCCTATGGGGGATGGAGGACAGGGGCCGGGGCAGGGGGGCCAGAGATGGGGGATGATGGGGCAGAGATCTTGCAGTGTGGACCTCCCTCTAATACCAGCCCCAGAAATTGTATTTAGCTGCTATAATTAAGCAATTAACCACTGGAAAAAAAAATATTTGTAATTTTTCCAGATCTTCTTCCTCTCAGCAGAAATCTAGGATGTGTTTTTCTAGTTCCCTTTCCTTGAAACGTGTGTGTTTTGAAGGAAACATAGCCCATATGTTGCTTATTCATGTTTCACACAAAATGCTCTTAGGGAATATTTACTCAAGGTCCAAAACATCTTCCATTTGTTTGTGTTTTTAAAGAAATCTTCTGAACTTAAAAACAGGAAGTCCTTGCTGACGGAGTACATGAACGTAAACTCTATGGGTTTTGTCGGTCTGGGATAAGGGTCCACGATGGGTCAGAAGAGCTCTCAAACCAGAGGAGCTGTGTTGGCCCCGGGGCCTGGTGCAGAAGCCCAGAGCTGACGAGCAGAGACCAGCTCCACGAACCAGCGGCCAGGCTTGTGGATGGCAGTTCCTAGGGGAGGGCGAGGAAGGGCCAGGCCTTGTGAAAAATCAGCTCTGACCCACAGCCCCAAAAGGCTTTGGCCCCAAATGCCCGTCATCCTCCCCCGGCCTTGAGAGGGAAGGGACAGGGCATCTTGGACCCAGCTCTGGCAAGTAGGGCAATGTTTCGTTGCAGAAAGAGTTAGAAAACTCTGCCTTGGTGGAGGTGCCCCTCCCACTGCCAAAGGGAAGAGGAGCCAGGCAGCTGACGGAAGGAGGTGAGATGGAAGCCGGGGACCAGTGGACAGGGCATGGGGCGGGGCCGCCCTGCCGTTCTCCACCCTGTGGTCTCAGTCCTACCACCTGTAAGATGGGAATAAATGCACCCACCTAACAAACTCACACGCATCAGAAACACACATCTACGATTCCCAGCACGTACCTGGTGACCCATCAGCAGACGGCACAGCAGAGTCTGGTGGGAGGATCTGCCCTGTCGGTGTGACAGTGCTGGTCACACCTGCCCTGACCAGTGTGCCAGGAAAGTTTGGGGCCAGTTTCCAGAGGACACCTGTGCAGGCGCTGGTTCAGGCTGAAGCTCCTTCCCATCAGCACTAAGCCTAGATCTGGGGTCCCCAGTGTGGACCGCGTGACCCTAAGAGTGTGCGAGGCAGTCCAGCGAGACCTGGAAAGGACACCAGGGCTTTCTTTACATTAATGTCACCGGAGTGTGAGAAAGAGCACCTCCCAGTACTTAGTGTAAGGACTGATGCTGTGGACAAGTACCGTCACAAACGTCCACATCCATTGGGAAGCCTGGGCAGCCTCAGTGGGGAGAGGCTGGCCTGCGGCCTCTGCCCGATGTGGTGGTTTTCACGTGCCTGGTGTGCGGATACAGACACGGGAGGATCTCGGCAGTATGTCGACATGAGACGAGGGTGACCTTGTAAAGCTTTACGCCCCTCGGCTGGCGTGGATCTGTGCGCTCGGACAAGCAATTCTAGAGACCAGGTGGGCAATTCTCTTTTACAAAAAGGTGGACACTTCTTTAGCTGCACTGTCCTCTGTGGACAAAGGCTAGTCACTGAGAGCAGCCTGGCAAAGTTTCTGAAAAAATAAACCCACTGACGCTGTCTTTTCAAGGAAAACGTGGTGTTTTCACAGAGGAGGAAAAAGGGACTGCTTTCCACAGAAACTCGTCCCACGGAGAGATTGAAAAATGTACAATGTTTTCCATCCTCATGCCATTTTGTTACCAGAAACGTATAAACACGTTGCTTATAAAAACCGCCCTATCTGTACACCGAGAAAACTTGCAAACATAATGTGGCGTCTGTGTCTTCAGCCAGAACAGCCAGGACGGGGTTCTGTAGAACCAGGTCCCAAAGTGCCCTAAACCCAGAAGCTTGAATCACTGCTTCAGAAAGTGTGGTCAGGATTTATACAACTAATAGTGCATGTTCAGTCATTCAATCCTATTAATGTTTCCAATACCATTTAGTTAAAAAAAAAAAGAGAGAGAGAGAGATTGTGTCCACCATAAAAAATAATACCCATTATTTTAAATGTTGTTTATTTCGTCTTTGTTCTATTATCTTTTTATTTTGACGGATATTCTATTACCCAGATAATATACTACTTCAGTGTCATGGGTATAGAATATGTGTGTGTACACATATACACACGTAATGTGTTAGTATTTGAGGGATGAGTTTTTAGATTTGGGGGGATCGCCCTGGTCCAGATGGTCCCACTGAGTAGAGACCCCACAGAGGTGGGTGATACCAGCCCCAGCCCCAAACCCGACGAAGCCCACCTCTGCCCACCAGCCTTCACCTCACCTGAGAGCTGGCCTTTCTGTTCCTTGTCTGCGCCTGCCTGGCCCCAAAACACTCGGAGCCTGTTTTTAGGCCAATGTAGAAACAGCACCCAAGTGAGATCCTCAGATATGAGCCAAAGCAAACTAGTGCCCGTCCCCAGAAACGTGGCCTGGGAGCGCGACTGCTCTGCATGTCTGCGGAGAAAGCACGCCCTGCTGTCGCCTCCCCTCTGTCTCCCCCACGCGCTCTCCTGGCTGGGATAGACATTCCGTGTGCGTGCACACAGGTGCACACGCACACCCGTGCACACACACACACACACACGCAACGCTTAGCAAGTCTGTTGGCCTCTGATGAGCAGATACTCTTCATAATAGTTTTAATTGCCCAGAGAATTGGCAATGGGATGACCGAGTCATAGAAGAAACGCAAGAAAAAAAACTTGAAACCTGAAAGCTTAGACTCCAAATGGAGGGAAGAACGCTTTTAGACATCAGGGACAGCGAGAAGAAGATAAATACTTCTTGGATGAATAAAATAAAATCAAACGGAAACACAGGTGTACCCCCAGAGCCAGGCCCCAGCAGGCATGTGGTTCAGGCCAGCAAATGACGATCCAGGGAACAGGTGACGGGGAGCAGACGCCTGGCTTCCCGCCCTGCTGGGCACTGCTCTGCCAGCCCCACCAGCCCCAGAGGGCCCGGCCCATGAACACCCCCTCCTCCAGCCCCTCTCACTTCCCCACTTCCTGCTTCCTGGGACCCCCAGGTACACCCTCGGCCCCCATGTCCTGCCATGGCTCTGCTTTCAGGGACCAGATTAGACACAGGACATCCGTCCAGCAGGCACGGCCTCCCGCCAGTGGCACCTGCCGTGTGGTCTGAACGACATGTGCATTTCTCATTGTTCAGAAAATCAAAAATCATGCTACCTGTGGCTTCACGGTCACTGGCTCTGCATCTCCTGGGAGCGTGTGTGCCAACACTGGGGGACCAGGGTTGCCTCCATGCCACCAGCTCCAGAATGTGCTGGGCGGAAGACTGGTCTGGCCTCGGCAGGAAACGGTCCACCTTGTCCGACAGACGAGCTTCCTGAGCCGGCCCCACAGCCCCCGGGCACCCGCCATGTTTTCCATCCAGGCCAGCTGCTGGCACAGAGCCACTCTCCAATCCTGTGAACTACCTCTGACCAGTCCACCCCAGAGGGAGGAGGCCAGGTGGACGTGCTCTAAGATTCCCGAGCCCCGGGCACCAGCGTGTTCGGAGCCTGGACCCCCTGGGTTTGTTCGGTCCACAGCCCAGACACCCTTCACGGCCCTCCCTCCCCATTGGTCACCTTTGCCCTTGTGCTGAATCGAAAGGAGGCCTCAGTTGTCATCCCGCGGACCCCGTCCTCGTCCCCC